GAAAGTATCTGATTGTATGAATCATCAATAAATAATATATTCATTAAAATATTTTAATATTAATAATGCCATATTCCATTTAATTGAATGTATGTGCAATGGATGGTGAATTAAGATGGGATATACATATAATAATATATTAAATTATGTTAAATTAAATTTTGAGATTACATTATTTTTCTCTTTAATATTATTTATTATTAATCAAAATATTATATCAAATAATTAAATGATATGATATTAATTCAATCAAATTATTTCACACTTTATACATAGTTAATTTAAAAATCATAAATGATTCGAAGAAATTAATTAAAATAAACAATCAATTTATCATTAATGTAATTAAATGATATTGAAGTAAATATTAATAAATGTGTAATAATAGAAAATAAAATATTACAACCATCGATAACATGATTAAAATAATAAATGTAGATGACTCCAAGTCCTACAAATATCATTGTGTATCAAATACAAGAAGAATGATGATGTAAAATATATTAATAAAATAGAAAATGATATAATGGACAAAATAGATGTAATCAATAAAATGAATGAAAATAATAAAAATTATCAATAGGATTATATCAATACTTTCAGATATATTGTATCTGTGATTCATTAGTCAATCACTAAATTAGATAAAATTGATCTGTATATTATAAAGAAGATACAAAAACAAATATTAAATTCATTAAGTAAAGATTATATAATAATAAAGGTAAATTATGAGATTGATTAATGTTATTAAGAGATGAATATAAATTAAAATTAATAAGAACAATAATTATTATGAATTGAAATAATGAAATATAAGAAATGATAAAAATGAATAAGAAATGAATTTGGAAGTAATTTTATAAAACATATGATAAAAGAATTAATAAAAATGAAAATAATGAAGTATAACAAATTATATAAAATAAGAATAACTCATATAAAATAATAAAATATTTAAATAATAAATATAATGAAATATATATTAATAAATTAAAATTAAATAAT